TTTTTTTTATTTCTACTTTCTTTCTGTTTATTTTTAAACAATTTCGTTTATTACTGAAGTTGTAATGGCGTAGTTCAACGTGTCATCATTTTAGAGAAAAAATGTTTTTCAAATCAGTCTCATATATTTGAAATGTTTTATTAAGAAAGCAAAAGAAAAAATAAATAAACAAAATAAAAGAAAAGATATATAAAATATTTAAGAGAATATTTTGAGTTTTTTTCTTATTAGAATTATTTATAGTTTAGTATTGCCTTGCTATTATTCTCCTCTACTCCTCACGCACACGCACATATATACCCCTACCACCGCTCTGTCTTTCTCTCAGCCTACTACTATTTTTTTCATGTACCATTAATCTCTTTTCGACAATCCAGACTGACTACAAAAATCATCTTGTGCAGTCCTTTCGCAGATTTCAATGGATACGCACGCACTCAAAGCTTCTCTTCTCTACTTGCTGCATGAATGGCAAAATGAACAATTATTTTTAGACTAATAGTCATTCGTGATTTGCCTGTAGAGAGGGGGAAAAATTTTAAATGAAGCCATTAAAATTTACTCGGACAAGAAAATGCCGATCGTTTATAGAACTTTTTTCATTCACAACTGATGACCATCAGCCAATTGCGTAGCAGCTACATTGCAATATCTTGTGTGCCTCTTCGACTATTAAAGAAATGCGTTGAATAAAAACTTCATTTGGCTTACATTAGATATGGCGGATATCTGTATAATCAAATTAAATTAAAAAAAAAAAAATAATCAAACTATTTTTATCCGAAGCACATGAGACCCTGAAGAGTATAAACTTTACATCCCGAATTCTTCTCACTTTTTGAAGTCTTTCTTCTCCAGCATTACATTAAATATAAATTATCTGTGTTTCTACCCTTTTCCTTTTTTTTTTTTTTTAATAATTTGCTTAGATAAAAAAAAACAATATGAATCATATGAAAAAATTAAGAATCTGCCATAACCTCCTTATTTCCAGATATTTGCCCAACAGCAAGGAAATAAATATGGCGCCTATGACCTAATACGGGAATGGCAATC